AGTTGTCCTTGTCGTTCGCGAAGTCTGCGTCGGTGTAACCGAGCAAACGGCTATCGGTCTCGTCGTTCTGACCTAGACAGAGTCGATAGTTGGAGGTGCCGCGGAGGTACTTGAGAACACGATAGGTGGCAGCTACGTGTTTCGGTGAAGGGTTCGCCTGGTATTGGCAAAGTCGGGCGACGGCGAAGCCGATGTCGGGGCGAGTCCCGAGCATGGCGTACATGAGTGAGCCGAGGAGTGAGCGGTATAACTTGATGCGGTCTTGTGGACAGTCCGCGGGGTCTTCCTTGTTCTTCTCGAGTATGATGTCAGTGCCGAGTGGTGTGGATGCGGGGTTGCAGTCTTCGTATCCGAATCGTTTGAGGACGGATTCAATGTACGTTTCCTGGTCGAGGTATGTAGCTCGACTCCCCCTATCCCTCGTGACACGGATGCTGAGGTAGTACTTGAGTTCGCCAAGGTCCTTGAGTTGGAACCTTTCCTTCAATGCCTCTTTCGTTTGTTGGATGAGATCGAGACTGTTTCCCATCATAGTTAGGTCGTCAACGTAAACCACTAAAATTTGAGTGGATCCCCCTCGTTGACGGCGAATGAAGATGGATACGTCGCCGGCATCGTGGCATGCGAATCCAATGTCCTCGAGACAGGCTTTGAGCGTGAGGAACCATGTTCGTCCCGCTTGCTTTAACCCGTATATTGCTTTTCGCAGGCGGCATACTTTGCCTGCGTCCGTTACGAAACCTTCAGGTTGCTCCATGTAGAGCTCCTCGTCGAGTTCTCCATTCAGATATGCTCTATCAAAGTCGATCTGATGGATTTCCCAGTCCTGGATAGTCGCTAGGGCGATGAGGTATCGCCAGGATTCCAGATGGGCGACGGGAGCGAAGGTGTCTTCGTAATCGATGCCTTGAACTTGCGTGAACCCCTTGGCTACAAGCCTTGCCTTGTAGCAATCCACTTCTCCGTTCTCGTTGCGCTTGACAACGTATACCCATTTGCACTTGATCGCCTTGCGCCCCTTTGGTAGGTCGACAAGTTCCCAGGTGCCTTGTTCCAGGAGGCCGGTGACTTTGGCCTGCATGGCAGTCATCCACTCCGCTGAATCCGGGGCATTAGCTGCTTGTTTGTAGGTCTGCGGCTCTCCAGCGATGGAGGAGTCGCCTACGATCGCAGCGATGTCGCCCGGTTCCTTGCCTGTGTTCAGTGCTTCCTCGATGTCCGCTTCGGTCGCTCCGGGCCAAATGCTCGTCCATTTCTGAGTTGCCTTACGCTCGCGGGTACCGCGGCGGACGCCTGACGACGTCGTGGCATGCTCAGGATTGGTGAAGGGATTGTAATCCCATGAGGTAGTGTTGGGATTTGGCTGGAGTGGCGGAGGGGCGATGACGCAGGATGGTGAGGCTTTGGCCTTGCCTTTGAATTCAGGCTTGACCGGTGCACTTGGCGGGATTGGCGGAGCTGGATACAACTCTGTTCGAGGTGTAAGGCGTGGTATCTGGGATACTGTAGGCGGTTTTGGTGTGATGGGTTGAGTAGGAGGTGGTACAGGCTGTGGCGGCTGCGTAGGAGCCGGTGGCATGTTAAGGGGTGGTAGTTCGAGTTCGACAGATGACGGCAGCGTGGATGTAGATCCGGTCGGTTGTGTCGAGAACGGTGAGGGTAGGAGTTTGTTGGGGAAGATCGACTCGTCGAATATCACATCAGTACTCGTGGTGATCTTTCTGCTATGTTTATCCCATAGACGATAACCTTTAGAATTCGTCTCGTAGCCGATAAACACTAGGCTCTCAGCGTTAGCATCGAGTTTCTTGCGTTTATCCCCGGGTATATGGCGATAGGCCTGGCAACCGAAGACTCGGAAGTGGGACACGTCCGGTGTGGTGCTAGTGAGTCGTTCCAGGGGCGTACGCCATGCAATGGCTTTCTTAGGGCCTCTGTTGCGTACGTGCACAGCTGTGCGAATAGCTTCTTCCCAGAATCCGTGTGATAACCCGGCGGTTTGTAGCATTGACTTTGCGGCTTCTACGAGCGTGCGGTTCATGCACTCAGCTTTGCCGTTTTGCTGTGGGGTACCGGGTATCGTGCGCTCGTGGATGATCCCAGATTTCTTCAACAAGTTGATAAACTCGTTAGACTGGTATTCACCCCCTCGATCTGACCGAAAGACCTTGATGACCGTGTCGAACTGTCGCGCGACAAGGGCTACGAAGTCTTTGAATGCGGAGAGGAACTCATCCTTTGTTCGCAGATAGTAGACCCATGTGACGTCGGAGCAGTCGTCGATGAAGGTAGCGAAGTATCGGTGGCCTGTGAGAGACACCACCGACATAGATCCGTCGAGGTCAGAGTGTATGAGGTCGAAGGGTTTGTTGGCGCGTGAGGTGGACGATGTGGGGAATGTACGCCTGTGTACTTTGCCCAAGACACAGCCTTTGCAGGGATGCGATGGTTTATCCATATCGGTGGCGATAAGGCCTTTGACCAGAGAGGAATCAGCAGCGGCGAGCTTGTGTACTGCCTCCCAGTTCAGGTGGCCAAACCGGTGATGGATAACGTCGAGCGAAGTGGCATTGTGCATGGAGACCGCGACAGATGGTGGAGGTAGAGTAAGGTCCAACCAATACTGACCGCGGGACTTAGTGCCTATGCCAAACGTAGTGTTACCACGCTTGATTTGGGCTCGTCCTTTCCCAAAGACGAGATCGAAGCCTTTGTCTTCGATGCATGAGACGGAGATTAGCCGTCCAGACATTGCAGGGCTGTAGAGAACGTTCTCTAGCCTGATGTTTACTGGTTTGTTATCGACGAGCGTAGTGCCCTCGACAACACCTGAACCGAGCGTGCTTACTTGCGTTTTCACCTTGTCTGCTAATGTTGCGTACGTAGGCGACGCAAAGGTGGTGTACTCAGCGAAGTCGTTCAGGTCGTTTGTAATGTGTCGTGTACAGCCGGAGTCTAACATCCAGCGTTTCACACCGTGGAGATACCAGGAAGCGGAGTGAATTTCGGCCTCAGGAGCAGCGGCTCCTTTGGCGGTGACTACATGTACAGATGCGTGACCAGTACTACTACCGGACGGATTACTTTTACCATCCTGGGCTTTGCCATTGCTGCCCTTCCGCGCCTCTTCGGCGGCGGCCTTTTTCTTTCTGCAGTCCTGCTCGTAGTGGCCTTTGTAGTGGCAGAAGTTGCACTTGCCCTTCTTGCCGTCAGGTTTGCCAGCTTTGGCTTTGCCTGAGGTAGACGCCTTTGGTGCATGGAAGGCGGCGACGTTTCGCTTCATCGAGGAGACGGTTGCGGATGTCGTCGAGTTTTAAGTCGGCGGGCTTGGTGACTGCGAGGATGGGCTCCACGACGTTGTTGAACGAGTCGGGGAGGGCCGTGAGCAGGCCGAATATCTGCAGGAGCTCCGGGGTTTGGAGGATCCCGGAGGCGCTGACCTCTTGCCAGAGTCGGGCGCGTTTGTCGAATTGGGCAGCGAGGTCATCGCTGTCCGTGATCGTGTGCGAGAAGTACGCGCGGAACTTGACAAATGCCGACATGGTGGTGGAGGCGGCGTAGTTGTCCTTCAGCTTCTTCCACAGCGCGGCGGCTGTGATGTCCACTGGGTTCGCGAGGTGCAGGAGCTCGTCGCCGAGCGTGCTGAGGATGTAGAACCTCGCGTATGCGTTCGTCGTCTCCCATGCTTCGATGTCCGCAGCGGAGACGGAGCTGCTTGGGACAGGGGCTCTCTCGGTGCCGTCGATGACCTTCCATGCGCGTGCAGCAATGAAGTACTGCTGCATCATCAGGGACCAGCGTGGGTAGTCGCTGGAACCTTTGAGCTTCCCGATCACGTCGAGCTTCATCGACGGTGGACTGGTGGCTGATGCAAATGCGAAGGCGGAGGACATGGTTGTCATGCGGCGTGGTGCGGTAGACGCGGATTGAGAGGGTGTAGTAGGAGTGGCGGGAGTGCGACGTGTAGGACGGGGTGCAGGTGCAGGTGCAGGTGTCGGTGCAGTTGGTGAAGGTGGGCGTGATGCAGATGGACTAGACATGCACTAGAGGATCTCTAGTGTCCGTGTTGCGATGTGGAGTAACACTTGGGGTAAAGACCCTGAGGTGTTATGGAGCAAATGTGCGGCTGGTGCCGGATCTCTCCGAGTGAAGACTCGTGAGGGATGGAGGGTAGAATAACCTATTGTCGTGATACGACTACTGGGCTGCGCGAGCGCGAACTGGCGAGTGGCACGCGGGCACGATCTAATACACACGGGGGATTAGTTCTGAGTGCGAAGGGAAAGAGCACACTGTATAGATCTAACCTAATACACATGGGGGATTAGTCTATACAGGGCGTAAGCATGAGTGCATACTGCGCAAGGGCGACGAAGGGACTTACTCTGAGTGCGAAGGGAAAGAGCACGCAGAGTGGGGATGCGAGAGGAGTCCTTATATACTAAAAGGAAACAAATTGAAAGTCCGCTAGAATGGGGAAGCCTGCCATAAAGAGGTCCGTGCGTGGGAGCACTACATATGATTGTCCAATCACTATCTACGTATTAGCAGCGCCTAATCTAAGATGTCCACCTTAAGTCCGTGCCGGGCGGAACGCCGAG